CAAACACTAAATTCGGATCTTTACTGTCAACAACTGGATCATTTAAAGCAAGCGATTGACCAGAAACGGCCAGAATTGGCCAAAAGGAGAGGTGTTGTGTTTGATCAGAACAACGTCAGGTAACACATGACTATAGTGACTTCCCAGAACCTCCAGGAGGTTGGTTTAGAAATTTGGATGCATCCATCATATAGACCAGACCTTACACTAAGCRATTATCATCTTTTTGTTGCACTGCAAAACTTTCTTATTGATAAGAAATTGACATTAAAAGGAGATTGTAAAAATCGATCACAAGAGTTTTTCGCAAATAGAGACCAAGACTTTTATGAGACAGGCATTATGAAGCTACCTTTAAAACGTTAATAAATTAACGAACAAAACTGTGCATATTTGATCAAAATCAGACAACCAGAAGTATGTTAAATAAAGGTTTGAAGTTAACGTAAAAATAATGGATAACTTTTTCCCCAACCTAATACTTAATAATAGAACAACATATCTTATGATTAAAAACTCATCGTTTATTATATTATTTTTGTTGATTTTTTAAGACTTCTATTATTCAATTGTTTTACACCAATCTTCAGGAACGCATCTATTAATGTTTTTTCAAGTTTTGAAGAACAGCAAAAGGCATATATGATGTTTCTCAAATATCTTACAAATTTAACATGTTACAGGTATGACGTGCAACAGCATGACGCAATTAATGAGCGAAGGTGCGACACCGTTACCCGATGTGACCTCGCACGAAGCACTCATAGCTGAAATCAAACACTTGAGGGAACGTCAGTTAACGTTGGAAACGGAAAACGCAACCCTTAACGCTAGATTGAATCAAAGAGAATGGAAAGTGGAACAACGTTTGGCAGAAATCGAGTTGCAAATTTGCGGTGTTAGTTCGACATCGAGCGTAGAGGACAACAACGAGCGTAATCGCGAAAGCATCATTTAACGAGAAACAAGGCCGCGAGAGCGCGGCAAAGCAAAGATGGAGCTTATACGTCGTTGTATTGAACAAGCTAGGGTCGAGGATTCTATTGGTTCATTGACAAACGTCGAACTAAACGTAGGTGCAAGATTAAGCGACACCAAATCGATCGGTAGCTTAAGTCAGCATTTTTTCGAAAGCGACGAAGACGAAAGGTATTTATATGTCTATCCATCTATTGGGTTACCCGAAAAGTTCGAATTAATATTTTTTAATATATATGTTACCTATTACTATTGTACAGGAATCAGTTATTCTGCAGAATAATCAGGATGAACAGTTGACGTGTCGATAATTGTTTCATTTCTCAAATTACCTAGATACCCTGTACATTACTTATTAGATTTACAGTTATATTTTCTGAAACCCTGACCCAGTGTCAAGATATTGTTTTATCGCTGGTTGTCCTAAAGATATTTTAATGTGTACATTACCTAAGTAACATGCAGAAAACTTTGAATTCCGTACGTTACTGAAACAAATCAATTAATCTGCAGGTTATCTAAGTATCATGTTCGAATTTTATCAATAATTATATATATATATATATAATCCAATTTATCAGAATGTCGGTACGAACTTTCCAGGTAACGCAATATTTATCCATTATTTGTATTCCTTATTGTTTTGATTTGACAAAAGACAATTTAACTTTCTTTTCCATTTCTTTCTTCGATCACTGTCTATCTGTATTCCGACAGGTATTACGGAACGTGCAACGGTTACGCCTCACAACCCGGAAGCAAATCAAACCTGTTGCTGTGCAGCGAATGCGATCAAAAGACACGTACTTGCACGTACAGACCACAGACACCGGGATCTTATTTTGGTCGTTACGTAGAGGAACGTTTAGATCCTAGGGAGGATTTAACTTTCCTTAGACCGGAATACAAGACGTCTGTCCGTAATAGTCCATCGCCAAGATTGTCACGTGATATTCAAGAAATCTCTACGTCGCCTAGATCACGAAACTATTTTCAGGATTCACCGTCACCGAGATCTGGTCGACAAGAGTTCAAGGATCAACAACAACAGCAATTATTGTCACCCGAATATTTTCGTCGGGAGGAAACTTTCGTTGAAACGGAAAAACGTCAAAAACAAAAGGAAAAGGAAAAAGAGGATAATGAACATGAAGAAGATGAAGATGAAGAAAATGAAGAGGAAGACGAAGATGCTGAGGAAGACGACAGTCCGGTTTGTGAGCTTTGTCACGGTAACGGTCTTGTTTTGGTTCACTGTGAACATTGTAATTTTTCAACCGAAGGAGATCTCATATGTTTCCGTTGTCAAAGCGATGAAAGTTCGTCTAACGGCAACAATAGTTGTCCACGTTGCGAAAGAAGTGCTAGAATAGCTGCTGCTGCTGCTACTGCGGTAAATAGCGGAACTACATCGTCCGACGAAGATAATCGTCATCGTCATACGAGTAAATATCCGGTAGACGCGGTAGTTAAGATCAAATTAAACGATCACATGATAGACGTCGATTCGGACGATACAAATGACAGCGATCCATCGATAGATCGTCACAGAACTCAAGTCGAACGACTCGACACTATCGTTGAGATCAAAGGTGACACTGCCAGTGAAAACGATGACGATAACAATGGCGGCAACGGCGGCCATGACAATGGTGGCAATGGTAGCACCAAATTAAACGGAACTACGAGCGCGAGATTTCTCAATTACATGATCGTACTATGCTTGTAAATAATTTAATATTTTAATCGATTATTATAAAATGATAGATATATACGTCATCGTCATCCAAACGCAATTTCTATTCGCTACGCGTATTATTAAAAGAGAATGATAATATTAATAATGTGATCGGCGAAAGTTACGAGAAAGATAAAATAATTAAAAAGAACAAACTTTAGCCGATGATAATTCTTAACTGTAAATATTAAAAAAAAAAAAAAAAGAAAATAAAAAAAAACTGCCAAGTGACACGCGATAGTCAAAATCGATATTCTCTAAATGCGACATAGAATTAAAAAGATAACAAAAAAAAAGATATTAAAAATTAAAATTAACCCTTTCGTTACGAGCACCGGAATTAGACGGCGTCCACTCGACTACCTGTGTGTTCGAGCGCCAGATCTAGACGGCCTCCATTCGATGACCTGTGTGTACGAGCGCCGGAATTAGACGGCCTCTTCCAAATACCTGTGAATACGAGCGCCGGATCTTGACGTTAGCTCGGCGGCGCGGTGCCTCGTATGGTGGCGTTACCCCGCGGAGCAGACTGCCGTAACGAGAGGGTTAAATTAAATATGTACTTAGGTAGCTCGTATAAACGGTAATTGAAAAAGAAACAAAAGTGGGGGGAAAAGGTGGCAATGATATTACGAAAGAATGAAATAGAAAACAAACGCCGAGCGAATTGGATCGTAAAGAAAAATTAATAAATATTAAAAAAAAAAAAGAAAGAAAGAAGATGGATAAAACAATCTGTCTCAGGGACGGCCGATCTGCCCGCAGACTTTCGTCGCCGAGCGCCAAAAAAGGAAAAAATAAAAAAAAAGAAAATAAGAAAATATTGCAAAACCAATCCAGGCGTTCCTGCGCACGTAACCATTAGAATGGGTTTGTACAGAGATCGTGATAATAGAATATATATATATATATATATATATATATATATATATATATATTGTCTCTCACTTAGAAAACATCTTCCGTTAATTTTCTATTCAGATAACAAGAAACAAATAAATAAAAAAAAAAAAAACTATAAAAAACGATGAAAGAACGAGGGCTCTCGTCTCGCTGATTGTTAGAAAAAAAAATAAAAGAAAATAAGGGAAAAGAAAAAACCATACTCTCTACTAAAAGAAAGATACGAGAAAAAAATCGATACGAAGCAAACAAAAAAAGAGAAAACTAGACGAAGAATGTGCTAGAGGAAATGTGCGAAATAATATATATATATATATGAAGTATATGTATATATATACATGCTGCCACTAATAAATCAAAAAAAAGAAAAAAGAAAAAACAATTTAAAAGAAATTTCGCGCGAGGACCTTACGATTTAAGATTTTTCATACCTTTGATCGAATTCTTTCTTAGCTTTTACGTAAAAGCAATAGACGCGAGCCCGTACGCGGACATCACATACAACACACACACACACACAAACAGCATACAACACACAAACACATTGACATACAATTTAAACACACAAAGATAAATGGTGAACACTCGCGTATCGTCGAAAAAGCTAGAGAGTAATTGTAATAATTAAAAAAAAAAAAAGAAAGGGAAATAAAAAATGAAAAAAAAAAAAACGAAAAAAGTAATCTTACGCTTTAATCCGCAACACGTAAGATACGACAAAATGTCAATTCCTAAGAAAGAAGAAGAAGAAAAAAAAAGAAATAAAACGCAAATCGATAAAGGATCGAGGCAACAAAGCGTGTTTAAACTGCCATCATTTTCACAAAGGATAAAAGGTTTTAGCTAAGATTTTTGCACAAACCCATACTAACTCATGTTCGGGACCAACTATTATCCATCATTTAATAAGCGACAAATGCCACTTCCGAGTCTCCAACTTTCGTTCATAGTCGTCGTTAGTCGCTCTCTAACAAACCCCCAAAAAAAAAATTAAAAAAAAATAAAAAAAACTAAAGAACAATTTACGCCAGTTTCTCGACATTCAACAAAAGTTCAACGATACCGAATGGTACATAAGGGAAAAAGAAAGAAAATGAAAAAGAAAAAAAAGATAATTGACATTGCAAGGATATAGTAACAGAGAAAACGAGAGAGAGAGAGAGAGAGAGAGAAAGAGAGAAAGAGGCAGTACATAACCTTACTTATTTCGTTTGCATCTACTATTATTAAAATAAAAAGAAAAAGATATAAAATAGAAAAAAGAAGATGAACAAAAAATAGATTCGCGGTGTCTTATCTCGCCTACGTTAGATGCCGTGAAAGAACAAAAATAAAATAAAATAAATTAATAATAATTGTCAAGGATATATTCGAGCGAGTTCACATCGTCCCGACGCGAATTAATTAATTAACTAATTAACTAACTAAACCAATCGTTGTTGATTTTCGAAATGAACGTATAATGTAAAAATAATCCCGCGCCAATTTTTCGCCTATTTCTAATAGATTTTTTCCTCCACCATGCGCAAAGATGGCGGCACCCCAATGGAGCGTTCGTATTCGTTAATTGGAAAGAAATGAAAAGAATAAAGATAAATACGAAAGAATGATTGTACGATAGAAAAAGAAAAAGAAGTCAGAAATAAAAATGAGATAATATTGGAGGAGGAAGTAAATTATTTGTCCACAAGGAACCATTTAAAAAAAAAAAGGAAAACCAATCGAAAGATTCGAGTCGATACCGATTCTTTCTCTCTCTCTTTCTCTCTCTCTCGTTCATGTCGAAATAAAACAATTATTAATTATTAACGAAATAATAAATAAATAATAATAATAGTAATGATTATAACGAAATTGTGAACGGCGGCTCAAAAAACAGAGAGAGAAAGAGAAAGAGACGAAACCGTGTTGTTTGGAAAACGTTAATATGGATATGAATTTTTTTACGCAAAAATATTTTTCAATCATCGAATTATAAAATAGAATTTAGCTAGAAATTGAGAGAAGACTTTTTTTAAAAAGAACGAAAAAAAAAGAAAAGAAAAAAGACGTCCGTTTCTAAAAAAAAAAAAAAGAAAAAAAAGAAGCCTCATTGTAAAAAATCGTTTCTCCAAAAGAGAAACGATCGCTACTCGCCGAACGTTGATAAAAAAAAAGAACGAGAAAATGAAAATGAAAAATGACTCGATTAATTTGCATACGATTTGAACGAAGTAAAAGTAATACTTTAAAATCCAAAAAAAGAAAAAAAAAAGTTACAATAAAATATTGCTTACATATATTACGACAAGATTCCAAGTTCTTCCGCTGGTATAAATGTAAAAAAAGAAAAAAAGAGAAGAAAAAGAAAAGGGATAAAGAATAGAAAAAAAAAGTTATAATAAAAAAGAAAAACCATAACTACTGCCCTTGCTTCCTCCTCCTTCTCCCCTTCATTCCGGAACAATAATAAATAATTAATTAAATAAAATATGGAAGTAAATAATGTTGTCGTCGTCACATATCCGATTTCGAATGGGGGAATACGAAAGCCCAAAAGAAAGGGGGGAAACGAAGAAGAAAGATACAGATAGAAAAAAAAATTATATGTAAATGTCCAGATGGAATATCCTGAAGGATGCATATTTGTTTTGATGCGTGTAGGGGTGCACTCGAGGTGCGGGGGAGGAGGACAAAAGGAGAACTCGCTTCGCCCGCGAATAGTAGCGATCAAAGTGCTCTTACTCTACAACATGATTATCGCGGGGGAAAAATTTATGTAGATCTTAAGAGAATCAACTGAACTTGAAAAAAGAGGGAAAGCGAGAGGGATAAGGGATGGTTCGACGACAAGTTTCATCGTTTATTTCAATCTTTTTTTACCCTTTTTTTTTCTCTACCTTAAATTCTTCCCATTTTCAATTACACGACAATGAAATAAAACATTTGTTCCTTTTTCTTTTCATCTTTTAATTCATTATACGATAAAATAAATCACAAAAATTGAAAACTTTCATTTTCTTATATAATATCGTAATAATTAATTTGTTATATATATATTTTAATAAATTTATTTATCGTAACTGTTGTTTAATAAAATTTTTCTAATGATATGTTTGTTTCTTTTTGTTCTTTTTTTGATTTACTTCATTGTCGTGATTAAAACGGACACGTTAATTAATAATTATTTTTAATTTTCACATAGAATTGATAATACACATATACATACACGTACATATAAGCGTCTATAATTACTGCCTTTCAACATTTTTCTTTGTTATTTACATAATTACGTATGTACCAAGTGTCTCCGGTTTTTTTTCGTTTAAACAAAGGATGTGACACCTTGTATAATGTTTAAATAAATAAAATACATGCACTGTATGTCATACATGTACAAAACATAAATATTATTTCATGCATATTATAAAAATGCGTCGTCTCCATCCACCCTTAGCGAAAAATTAACACCGAGAACGTTACGTTATACTACTGCCACCTTATACTTTAAAAAAAAAAAAAAAAGAGAAAGAGAAAAAAATATAAGAAGAAGAACACGAAAAAGAAGAAGAAAATAAAAAATAAAACATAATGAACTTCCGCGTACATTCGTTTAGAAAACAAAAAAACAAAAGATTTGTTAGATTAGAAACAACATTGCGTGAGTAAGTGAAATAATATACATATTACATCAATATATATATATATATACTTTACTTACTCTACTTAAATTGCGACTTTTGAACCTCTCTATAAAAATAGATAATAATAATAATAATAAAACAACAATTTAAAAATACTTAAATAATTAATACTTAACGCATACCAATATACACATTCGCGTATCTCTCGACGAGAAAGAAGATAAAGAAAAAAAAAAGAATTAATATAAATAAATGAACAAAGCGACGATACGATAAAGAACGAGCAAACGACTGACGTACACTTTAAAAAAAATAATATTACACGCACGTACACACACATAGACACACAACACACATACACATTTTCCCCGTGAAAAAAGAAAAGGAAAAGAATGAAAAATAAAATTTTAAATTGAATTTATCATCTCGTTTACTACGTTACTCGCAATCGATGTAATATATCATACATAATATAATCCTTTTACATAGTTAATTAATTAATTTAAAAACATAGATATATAGACGATACGACCATGTAATGTTACAAAGATCCGTGAGAGAAACAAAAAAGATGGGAGAGAATCGAATCAGCCTTAACAAACAAACCAATAAAAAAAAAGATTAAAGAAACAACCGTAGACAATTATTAATAATTTTCATGTATTGTATTTATTATACTTAAATATTAACGGGAGCGATTTACGTTTGTACGTATTGTAATAAATAATTCTGTTTTTTTTTTTTTTTAAATCGTCAAATCCATATTGAAAAGTGAAAAAATTGAAACGTTTACGAACAACAACGACTACGGCTTAGTGAAGAAAAAATTAATAATAATATGAACCTACATGAAAAAAAAAAAAGAAGAAAAAAAATACATTGATTCGCCCTTTTTTGCTATCGTAATCGTTATCAATGTCTTTTTCTTCTCAATCTGCGACCATTTAATTTTTTTGATTAATTTATTAAAAAATACGCTAGTGTGTCACAAAAAAAAGTGTTTTGTGCGAAATATAAAAAAAAAAGAAAAAAAAACGAAAATGAAAGAAATATCTTATCTTCGGATAGAAGAATTCTTCTATCATTTCGTCGACATCGAAGGAAAAAAATAGAAAAAGAAAAAAAAAACTATGAGAATTGTACGTATTACTTTACATAGGATAAAAATATTTGTGCCAAGGATAATTTCAAACCGCGGTCTTCCTTACGAATTTTTTCCGATAGAAAAAAACAATCTTTCATTTGATCTTCCACCGTTACTCATCGAAAAAAAAAAAAAAAAAGAAAGAAATTTCATTTCCATATAAGGAGATAGTAGTACAATTTTCTAAATAATTTTTTTGCCAATGAAAAAGAATGGAAAAAAAAATAAATAAATAAATAAAAACAAGTTAAACGGTCGTCGTGCATATCAATATTTTTTGTATGTGAAATATTCTGCAAAAGATGAAGAGAACAAAATATGCGAAAAAAATTAAATGAATAATTATTATAATTTTTTCTTATGCTTATAAATAAATATGCGTGTATGTGTATACATATGCATATATGTATATTTATAAAAAAAAAATGTTTGAATATGTCGCACAATAATATTTTATCCTTGCTCCCGCGACACCGTCATTAAATGTTTAATAAATGACAATTTAAACGATAGCATTTCACCATATCAAAATTAGCATCTTTTTGCATTAATTTGAAAAAAAAAAAAAAAAATAAGAAAGACGAAGAAAATAAATACCAGTGAAACTCACGCGTAACATATAGTTTTAATAAAGCGATAAAAAAGAAAATAAATAAAAAGTAATTAAACAATAAGAATTAAAATAATAATAATAAAAATAATGATATAATAATCAAGAAGAATTGATAATGAATTTCAAACTCTTGGATATTAATTATTATAATTATGAAAGATAAAAAATGCGAAACGAGCTAACTGTTTTATTAGGAGAAAAAAATTATGACAATTAATAATCAATGAAAATAAAAAAAAAATTTAACAGGTCTTAACAATAAAATATCTCGTTAACATGAATCACATCTGCTAGAATTGTATAAGCGAACAACAAGTTGTTATCATTTTGAAAAAGAAGAAGAAGAAGAAGAAGAAGAAAAATAAAAAAAAATAAATAAAAAATGAAAGAAAGAAAGTATAATCATAGAAAGATTAAAAATTACTTCTACGTTAAATTTTTTCTCGTCTATCGAAAATTGTTAAAGTTATATAATTATCAGGAAAGGAAAGAAAAAAAGAAATGGTAGAAAAATTAATTATATATTATTAAAAAAAAAATAATAATAAAAATAATAAAATAACGTATTTATAAATTTATTGTTATTATATTATATAATTTAAAAAATTAATTATATATTCTCTCTAAAGAATTTCTCTATCTTCGTTCACTCGAAACAAAATCATTGTAATTGATAAACACGACAACCAATTATCTAACTCTCGAACGATCAGAATTTATTACAAAAATTCCCAAAGTTTTCCA